CTCAATAAAATTGGAGAGCAACGCACAGCTGAGTTCCTGTTCCAATATTTCCCGATTTAACTTGTTGCTATAGCAACAGTCTATCAACGTCGGGAAGAGAATGTTCGTTAATTTAGGATCGCTGAAATATTCGAAGGGTAAGACACAGAGTTGTTGTAGAATTGTTGGTGGTTGGCCAGATTGAATGATCACCTGAAATTAAATAAAATAGATTAAATTCAACAAGATAATAATTGTAATGATTGAATATTATCAAAATAAGAAGCTGCTGTTGCTAAGTGAGGAAGACGTTGGCTCGCTAACCTGGAGTACTTTGTTCGATCCTAGTGTTGGCCGCTAATTTTCATGCACAGTTGTCCCTTGTCAGCGAAGTGGTGCAGGACGGAGGGTCTGGCAAGGGAAAATGTATAGTCCTTCGGATGGTACGAAAAATCTGAGGTCCTGTGTACACATTGGCGTGCAAGTAAAAGAACCCTTGACAGTTGGAATTTGAAAAAGAAGTAGTGCCACTGCCCAGTTGAGGCAGAACAGTAGAACCTTAAACCATATTTCTTTTATTTTTCATGTGCGTGCTGTATCATAAGGCTTGTCATTAAGTCAACGGACTTGTTTTCGAATCCCCGGTTGTACGTGACAAGGAGTAGGGTCGTCTGACAACCTCGTGGAATTTCTACGGGTCCTCCGGTTTCCTCCCACTGCTAAAGACCCCTACGCGCAAGCGAATTATTGAAATAAAATTAAATCATATTTTAGTCCCGAAATGACCTAGTTTGTGTCGAGTGGACGTTAAACCCCATCTCTCTCTTAAAAATAATTATCTTCCATTTATATTCATTTAATTTTTAAATCAAATTAAGTATGAGGAATAGCTGAGAACAAATCTAAATTAGATTAATACAACATTCAATTTCCTGAAAACTTCTTCTGGAGTTAAAAAACACCTCAACCTGAAATCTGACTCTAAAATTTTTTTTTTAAAATGATTTACTTCATGAAAATAATTTAATATTTTAACGAACGAGATGCATAGGTTATCAATCTTAACATGGCTCCTCTCCTCCCGGGCGCTATCACACTGACGCAATCATATAAACCTCATAAAACCTCCACAAACGTTCATCAAAAACAGCGGGGTGTGAACCAAAGTGTTAATTTCTTCATTACCTAAACGACTAAAAGCAACGGGATATCGTGGAAAATAGCGGGAACCTCTCCCTATGTCATGTGTATCCATTTCTATTCGTTCAACAGATTTCCTGTTCTGAAATCTTAAGATCACCAGAGTTGAAAAAATGAGACTGATATAATTTCTAAATGAAGACCTGGTGAAAAATAAACTGCACCTCAGGATTGGTGTTAGAAAAGGAATGTCTCATATTATGCTAAAAATATCTTGATAAATGTGTTTTCAGAGAGAGAGAGAGAGAGAGAGAGAGAGAGAGAGAGATGCACACTGGGTCTACAAACACAGTCTTTAGTTTAACAACATGTACTCTAGTAGTAGTACAGTTAACTTATTTTCAACTCATTATTTTTAACCATTTTTGGACTTATATAGAGATTCAACACAAAGGATTAAAAATCCATCCACTTAAGATTAGAAACTTTAGTTATATTTTGATTTCAACTGAATGTTCATATTGATATCTGTATGGCTGACAAGGAAAGAGTCTCTAGTTGTTCGAATGGGACAAAAAAAACCCCAAAAAACCTGTATACATTGGGACTAAAATTTTGATCAAATTCTTATGAATCTTAAATTGATCATTTTAGGATGCTGTTTCACTGTTAAAATAGTGATGACAACTAACCAATCTATTTTGATTTCAACTGACCCCTCGTATTCATTGGTTATCAAAATCTCTCCAAAAAAGTTTAGACACTTGAAGATCAAATTCAGGTTTTATTTCTAATAATTGAATGATATATTCTATATCTCTAGAAGGAAAATGATCAGTGAGACTATTTTTATAACATCCAATACAATCTGACCAAGTTTACATAAACAATAAACTGTTTAACCAGAACCCATATTATCGTACAGCAGCCAGCCTACGTTTGGGGACACTAAGGACAATATTGATGGCATTTATGGCACGGGTCGCGTGCTAGCATGCCGGGAATATTATGTCTAACAGAGGGGAAGGAGTGAATAACGAAATCCACATGAACAAATAGTCCTTCTAGCGGACACCATGTGTTAATCATCACCTAAGGTTGGAGGCCGAAGGTAGTCCTCGTTCGTAAATCTGTCCTCAATTCTCGTACAAAGCCGGCTCCGTCCACACTATATACACGGCATGTCCGAATGTCCTGGTTCACTGTTCGTCAAAACGTTTTTTTATGGACACCCCAGTTCCGATGTCATTTGGTATACGTATGTATAGAACAATGTATATTGACATGCTCTATTTGATTGAAATTGAGGCTGGTTTTTGGTTTCTGTCTTTTAACACTTGTCGACCAGACATTCCATAAAATACCATACAAATATTTGAGGCTCTCTCCATTAAATCAAAGTTTTATTGATACCATTTCAAATGTTGTTGTGCACATGTTTTTTCATATTTCATACTCAGCAATGTTTCACAGTATATTTAATATTTAGTTAGTTTGGTATAGATATAATTGTCATGATATATTTAATATTCAGATAGTTTGGTATAGATATAATTGTCATATTTAATATTCAGATAGTTTGGTATAGATATAATTGTCATATTTAATATTTAGCTAGTTTGTATAGATATAATTGTCATGGTATATTTTAATATGTAGCTAGTTTGATATAGATATAATTGTCATGGTATATTTAATATTTAGCTAGTTTGGTATAGATATAATTGTCATATTTAATATTTAGCTAGTTTGGTATAGATATAATTGTCATGGTATATTTAATATTTAGCTAGTTTGGTATAGATATAATTGTCATATTTAATATTTAGCTAGTTTGGTATAGATATAATTGTCATATTTAATATTTAGCTAGTTTGGTATATATATAATTATCATGGTATAATTTAATATTTAGCTAGTTTGATATAGATATAATTGTCATATTTAATATTTAGCTAGTTTGATATATATATAATTGTCATGATATATTTAATATTTAGCTAGTTTGGTATAGATATAATTGTCATATTTAATATTTAGCTAGTTTGGTATAGATATAATTGTCATGATATATTTAATATTTAGCTAGTTTGGTATAGATATAATTGTCATATTTAATATTTAGCTAGTTTGATATATATATAATTGTCATGATATATTTAATATTTAGCTAGTTTGGTATAGATATAATTGTCATGATATATTTAATATTTAGCTAGTTTGGTATAGATATAATTGTCATGATATATTTAATATTCAGATAGTTTGGTATAGATATAATTGTCATATTTAATATTTAGCTAGTTTGGTATAGATATAATTGTCATATTTAATATTTAGCTAGTTTGGTATAGATATAATTGTCATGGTATATTTAATATTTAGCTAGTTTGATATAGATATAATTGTCATGGTATATTTTAATATTTAGCTAGTTTGGTATAGATATAATTGTCATGGTATATTTAATATTTAGCTAGTTTGGTATAGATATAATTGTCATATTTAATATTTAGCTAGTTTGGTATAAATATAATTGTCATGATATATTTAATATTTAGCTAGTTTTGTATAAATATAATTGTCATGATATATTTAATATTTAGCTAGTTTGATATAGATATAATTGTCATATTTAATATTTAGCTAGTTTGTATAGATATAATTGTCATGGTATAATTTAATATTTAGCTAGTTTGGTATAGATATAATTGTCATATTTAATATTTAGCTAGTTTGATATAGATATAATTGTCATGGTATATTTAATATTTAGCTAGTTTGGTATAGATATAATTGTCATGGTATATCTAATATCTTATGAGTAAATATTGTTTTGACCAAATAATTAACTTGATTCCAAAATACTGAAATCTGTGATATACACGTTACTGAAAATGAGCAGATTTATGTACATGCACTTTAGAAGTAAGTTCGACTATATTAGAGCCCATTTATGGCTATGTGGGGTTACTTAATATTGATCCTGTTTTTTTCACACATTATAGTTTTTCAACTCAGTCTGGAAATAAGTGTCTACCATAAATTCTAACACTCCCTCTAATTAAAGAATCCAAAAGTCACATTTACAGTTGATTTATTTATAGATGGAAGAGTCTAATTATTTTAAAAGAGTATAATAATATAAGTAAAGCCTAGCTCACAATCCACCAGACGTCTTCTGATACGCACAGATCGTAGGGTTTGGTAGCTCGCAGACAAGCCGCAAAAAAACGGGTAAATATTTTGTATATGCCGGACCAAAAGTCTCTACGGCCAATCTACAATCTTCTATGGTGTCGAGCACACACAAGTGACACGTACGTCTCAGACACGGGTTTACTAAAATTTTATAATTTCCTCAGTAGGCTACCCGTAGTACATGTTCCTGAATCAAGGACTGGGAGTTTTACAACATCTGGACGTTGCTGGATTACTTCACAATTAACGAACTTATAGTTACTTTATCTACAGACACGTGAACAGTATCGTCCAATCAAAGGTTGTGACATAGCGACCTCCACAGCAACCTTGACATTGAACGAACCTTGAACTTTGCAACTCGATTATCATAGGTAGACATTTTAGCTTGAAAGCGTGAGACTTGATATTTGTGAAGACGGAGGAATCTGATAGGTTCACAAGTTGGGATTGTACCTAATCGAAATTAGTGCCGAAATATGCAGGGTATTACATGAAGGCCTTGATAAGATGTACATAGTTAAAGCGAGATCAAGCCTTTTATTGACGATGCCTGTAGTAGCACACAATGTGTTGTGAGCTAGGCTTTAGACACATATTTCCAGACAGGCATTCAACATGCATTCGGTCATTTCAAAAGACAACCAAACATCGAGAAAGAAGAAATTGTGCCATAATTTCGAAATTTTACTTTCCTTTTCATCGGCGGCGCAGAATGTTGTTTATCCTCAATCTGGGTATAAACAGTTGGAGATTATAACGATCCGAGACCACGAACGATTCTAGTATTTTAATCCTTTCGTAAGCTGATTTTACTATCGGAACAAATATCAAAAGCTTGTGACATATCTAATTACTGGCAGCATGCAGTATTTACAGAAACTTTAACGACAGTTTGTAGAAATAATTCTTGTTTAAGCCGTTTATAATCCTCTTACAAGTGAATTGTGATCTCTTGTCCTTCGTCACCTGTCAAACTCAGGTTGTTCTAATACTCGGCTCATTAATCAACACGACTTCTTATTTTTCATCATTTGTTAAGGATTTAAAATCAGGAGAACAAATGAGGGGCTGAGGGGACAAATGACAAAACTTCATCGGATGGGACCAAAAATGTGTTTCTGTGTAAAAAAAATCCTTGAAAGTTGGAATTCAAATTTTTCATCATTTGTTATGGATTTAAAATCAGGAAAACAAGGAGGGGCTAAGGGACGAGGGGCGTGGGGACGAGGCGACAAATAACAAAAATGTCTTCCATTTATTCATCAGATGGGACCAAAAAAATGTGCTTCTGTGTAAATTTTTTTTTATACATTGAAGTGTTGTTTGAATTTCTTCAAGAAATGAAATGAAATGGGGTTTAATGTCCTACTGTTCTGCTCCTAAACTGGGCTAATGAAGATGGGCATACCACATACAATGTGCTATGAGGGAAATTTTGCTCGGCAGCAAATTCCAACTGCCAAGGGATCTTTTAGGTGCACACCAATGTATACATGGGACCTTGTTTTTTTTATCCCATCCGAATGAATTTCTTCACGAAAACATTGAGTCTTACATGTGAATTGTGCAGAACAAAAAGATTCCAATAAACCAAGAAATCCACCTGCCACTGGTGTTAATTTAACAAATGAAATTAGTCGTTGTTTGCATTTTAGAGGGAGAGAGAGAGAAATGGGGTTTAACGTCCACTTGACACAAACTAGGTCATTTCGGGACTAACATATGGTTTTTAATTTTATTTACATAATTCGCTTGCGCGTAGGGGTCTTTAGCAGTGGGAGGAAACCAGAGGACCCGGAGAAAACCCACGAAATGGACAGGCAACCCTACTCCTTGTCATGTGCATTTTAGAGGAGAGCCGAAAAAAACTCCTTTCAATGAACAAACTGAAAACTGAAAAAATCGCTCCCCTAAAAAAGCTCGAGATCCCAGTTTTGATAAGAAGAGTGATTTAGAAATTAAGGAGAGTAATCTGATATTAAGGAGAGGGATTAGTTGTGTGCATGGGAAATGGTTCTGAAGATCAATAACTGCATGTTTGGGGGGTCATTCCTGGTTATATAAATGGTAATAAACACTGTCTGCTAAATAATAGCACTTGTACGGTCAAGTCAAACTTTTGCTATCGTCTAAAACTACTGACAGTATTCTAATAGAAATACTTGTCAACATTTCTAAATATACACAGCTTGTATAAATTTTGTTTCAAAACATAACCCCTATTCAAAATATAACCATAAAGGTTCGAAAATTTCATCAAAATAGAATCTATTTCTTCCAGAATTATTCTCACTGAAATTTTTCACATGCCCTCTCTCGTAATTTCTCACGTCTTGCGGAGTTCTGATTTAGATCTCAGTTAAATTAACCAATGATGCATAGACGCCATCTATTTTTAGTAACATTTTCATCGGAATATTTACCATGTGCGATCACATCGAATACACCATTTAACTGTTCACAATCGCAGCATGGCAGCGATCGGAATGGGAGCCATTCACACTTTTTAAAAAAAAAAAGAATACATATGTCCATGATTTACAAATAAGGAGAACGATTTTTTTCAATTATAAGGCGAGGGAGATAAATCTCCCCTCGGTTGACATTCAGGTGCACGGCAGGCGCTCGCGAGTGATCGCATACCTAAAACAAGATAATGACTGATAAAATAGAGGTTAATGAGTCAGAAATGTGTTCTAATATGAACACAAACTACATCACTTAAGGACTAATCTATGATACATTTACACTTTTATTATAACAATTCACTTGTGGGTAGGTGTCTTTAAAATAGCAGTGGGAGAAAAACCTACGCGGTTAGCCAGGCGACACTACTCCTTATCCCTTGCAAGCTTGGGATCGACTTAACCCAATGACAGAGAGGGTTTCATGTCCATGTGACACAAACTAAGTCATTTCGGGACTAATGGTTCAATTTTATTTCAATGATTGGCCTGCGCGTCGGGTTCTATAGCAGTGGGAGGAAAACAGAACCTGTAGAAAACCCATGAGGTTGGACAGACGACCCTACTCCTTGTCACGTACAACCGAAAAATCGAAACCACACCAGTTGACTCAAGACAGAGCTTATGATACAGCGCACACGTGCTAAACATTCGGCCATCCATTCCTCCCTGACAGACCTTTTGATCTAAAGGGCCCACATTAGATCCCCCCGTTTGTTTTAACATCCTAATGTCCTACAATAACATAAACAACTATAAATCATGCTGGATTCTACTTGTGCTTATCAACCTGTATATAGTCATATCACTGGTAAATAGACAACAGAGACTACTTTATCTTCGACATCCAGACCCATTACCGAAGCATATCTATATCATAGCGTCCCTACAGACAGCAACATCATCCCCGAATATCCCGTAATGCATTCTAATCCTGACGAATTTTCTGCTTTTATTCAATTTAACGGTACAGAGTGTAACATCTGAATCTCCGTGGCGATTCCCCGAGGTATTGATCACGGCTTTTATAGAGAGCTTTTTCGTGTCAGTTCTCGATTTTAACTTGATTAAAACTCTTCCCTTTATTGTTCACCATCATTAAATGTCTCATAAATTTACGGACCGAACACTGTGTTTATTGAAAGAGAGTATAAAAGTCTCGTCGATGTGAAAGAGGGAAATAACTTAATGAGACGAAAGCCAGAATAAAAAATGGTTATAAAAATATTTAAACATCCATCTTCTAATTAAATTATTATAAATTATAAAAGATTTCTCTTGGAAACGGTGGCAATATTTCTTTTTGTTTCTCGCTCCTCCTCCTCATCCCGCTGGAAAGCCAATCACATTCTTCTTTTGATGCAGATTTTAGAGACAAATGTATCGTTTTCAATAAAATAGAATTGAGAGAGGGAAAGAGAAGTGGGGTTTAATTGACAGTCATTTCAGGACTAACATACGGTACAATATGCAGACCGACTAACATCTGTTGGCGTCGAACAAAATAAAAGTTTTATACCTTTCTTAAATTTCACGACAACGAAGAATGTATAACGCATACGACGCAGACATTTTTCGTCCAAAAAATGTTCCCCAGTCTGCAATAGGCTTAAAGTCTGAAATTGTTCCTGACAATGTCTGTACCAGGTGTCTTACTTCTAGGCTTGACTGTACTAAAGCAAAAGCTTACCTGATTATCTGGATTAAGAACTGTAAAATTTCCGACACACAGGATAACTTCATGTAACAACTCTTCATTAGCTCGATGACTACAGTACCACATTAAATAACTAGCAATATGGCGGAATTCTAACCATATTCCTTCCTCTCCTAAACTCTTCTGTAAATATAAAATATACATTTAAAAAAATCTCATCAGAATTAACAGGTGTGCTTAGAAACAAACCCAAAATGTGTGCTTAGAAACAAATTAAAATGTGCACTTTAGAACCAACCTAAAATGTGCACTTTAGAAACAAACCCAAAAGGTGTGTATAGAACCAATCTAAAAGGTGTGCTTAGAAACAAACCCAAAAGGTGTACTACCAAACAACCCAAAACGTGCACTTTAGAAACAACCCCAAAACTAGATGGTGTGCTTAAATTAATCTTAGCTAGAAAATGCAATGTTTGTAGCATCCCAAAAGTTTGTTAAACAAATTCATTACAACACTTGATCAAGTATTTTGGCTCTGTGCCTACGGAGCTTTAAATCCTTCAACCAAAATTAATTATACACCGTGCTTGAATTTGTCATTGCATTTGCAGATCCTTATCCATTCCACAATGCACAAAAAAAACCCCCGCTAATGTGGACCAAAACATGTGGCACAGAATTACTCCACCCCCTAATCACGATGTTTAACAAATAGATTGATTTATAATAAATATATTACAGATTGGTTTAAATCAAACAGAGTAACAGAAATCTAACACCAATTATATCGATAAATAAACATTAAACAACAGAGGTTTTATATCTTTATATATTGACTCTACATGCTGGGAACTTATTTAACTTTATTTATAGATAGAAATCAATTACTTCTTCTTATTCTAGGGGGGTTGGGTGGCCGAGAGATAGAGAGAAATGGGGTTTAACGTCCACTCGACACAAACTAGGTCATTTCGGGACTAACATATGGTTCAATTTTATTTTGCGCGTAGGGGTCTTTAGCAATCTGAGGAAACCGAGGGACTGGAGAAAACCCATGAGGTTGGACAGATGATATAACTCGTCACGTACAACCGGGGTATCGAAACCATGCCAGTTCACTCAATGACAGACTTTATGATACTGCGCGCACGGATTGCGTGCTGGCTGAATAGCTTTTAAATGTGTGTGGGGCAGATCACAAGATCTGTCACTGAATCAAGTTAGTATTGAAATGACCTAGCGTTTGTGTTGAGTGGACATTAAATCACATTTCTCTCCATCTCCTCTCCTTCCTTCTCTTCCCCTGACCCCCCCCCCTCACCCTACCCCTCTCTGTCCCTCTTAAATTCAAATCCACAAAATATCTCAGGCTAACCATGGCATCGACAGTTGATTATGGTCTTGATAAGTTAATTAATGTCTAATTAATATAACATTTAAGGCCTAAATAAAGACCTACAATAAGCAGATTTAGCTCTTACATAATGTTGTTTAATTGACTGACAAGCAAATTACTTGGATAGATAAATTCTATTCAATTGGACACGGACAAAAAATGACTCCCAATAAAACTGTAACCCCTGTAGAAAAGTTCTCCAGTTTCAGACTGACACTGATTAAAGTTTATATAACCATCCCATTTAACTGTGCCATGTTAATAAGATGATCTCATTAGAAAATATTATTTGACAGGGTGGGAGGTACACAGCCAGTCACCAAACATCTAACAGGCAGGGGTACCATCATGTCACTTAATCCACTAATGTTACAAATTTAAACAACTTGAGTTACAATAACATGTCATGGCTTTACAACCAAACAAAACAACCAAAACAACTAAACATTGTAAAACCAGTACTCTCTCCACACTTACTTAAAGATGTATTATGTAATGAGAGAGAGAGAGAGAGAGAGAGAGAGAGAGAGAGAGAGAGTTTCCACTCAACACAAACTTGGTCATTTCAGGACTTGTGGGTTTTCTCCGGGTCCTCTGGTTTTCTCCAACTATTAAAGACCCCTACGCGCAAACAAATTATTGAAATAAAATTGAACCATATGTTAGTCGCGAAATGACCTGGTTTGTGTTGAGTGGACGTTGCCCCCCCCTCTCTCTCTCTCGCCTATTGCAGGTCTTTTCTCTAGCTTTAAATATTATTTAAGTTTTATTTATGTCAAGCCCATAATCAACTCCATATGTCATCCATCGAATAGCTTAGATATCAAATGAATTAAAACCTTTTTGCCATTTCAAATTTAATGAATTAAAATCTTTTTGCCATTTCAAATTTAATGGCAACTCTGTTTATTATACTGCTTTTAATTCTCAATTTCTTTTAATATTACTTTTCATTCTAATTTCTACGCATCAATTACTTCTAATTTTCTGTGTTTTTTTGGGGAGTGATTTTGTTTACATCTAATGTTTGTTTATGTTGCTTCAAAGAGGGATTATATAGATAGGATATTCCCGTTTCTTAATCCTAGTATTCCATAAATAAACAAAATATTAAAAATGATCTAATTATCTTTTAAACCTCTTTTAAAGTGTAGCAATGATTAAAGATGTGAAAATATGAAAAAATGTTTAGGATTCTAGATATCTGAATAAACTTGGCCCAGAGTTCACAAAGATTTCTCAGACTTAAGTCAAGAATTTATTCAAAATAGTTTGCCTTATTTTAACTAAAATATAGCTCTTTATAAAACTTTTGTTGTTTTCAAGTATCAAATACATCAATAAGAAAATATATGCAAAGTTTTGTGTTTCTGGATCAAAGATATTTCTCATAAACAATGATTGAAAGTTGAGTAAATTATTATGTCTAAGAATTCTTTGTGAACTTGGGTTCAGATCTTTTAAAAGTTTTTCTCAAACAAAATGACACAAGCCTGAACTAATACCCACTTGTAAAAATTCTAAATTAATTTAATGCATTTAAAATATCGTTAATATAATAATTATTATATTAAGTGTGTAGACTCAGCGGGACGGAGTGCATCTGTAAATTAAAACTGTGGGGTTATTGTTTATTTATGAAAGTTAACCGAGTATTTTAATGTATAAACTTATCATATATACATAGGAAAACTGATCCGCTGTCCAGCTGTATGTGGATTATTTTTATAATAGCATTTAGTTTATTTATAAAGACATATTATTCCCCAATAATTTACCGTAATTCATTGAATATATGCTCTCCCATGTGCAAGAGATAATTTTCACTTGAATAAATACATAGTTAGTCTATTAAAAATGCATTATGTACAGTGTAAAATTTAGAAATAGAGTTGGTCGTTCTTGTGTGATAATAGTTAAAAAATAGATAATTAATAACATATGAATACATTGAGGGAAAATTGACATGAAATTGGGTTAAATATGTTATTTTCCAGCAGCAACTGGGCTAATAAAGACAGAAAGGAGAGTGAAAGCTATGGGGTTTAACATCCACTCGACACAAACTATGTCATTTTGGGGCTAACACATGGTTCAATTTTATTTCAATAATTCGCTTCCATGTATGCATGTAGGGGGTCTTTAGCCGTGGGAGTAACTGGTGGGCCCGAAGAAAACCCATGAGGTTGGACAGGTGACCTACTCTTGATCACGCCACTTGGCCACTTGACTCAGTGACAGACTTTGTGATTTCATGTGCACGCATTAAACCACTAGAGCGTCTCTCGACCCCTGCACTGCCTGAAAAAGCGTGATTTGTTCTGGATAGGTGGCTTATTTCAAGGCCTGAATAAGCTGTTACTATCAGAGTCGCGCGTCTCCACAACAAGTGACTTTTATGCAGTTTTTGAACAAATATGATATTTATGCAGCTTTAAAAAAGATCAATGCAGTCATTAAAGAAGGAAAAAAGAAAAAAGTTGTGATTATTCATAAATTATGTCATCCACTCCTTCAATGCTTATGAATTTTTTAAAGACGAGAGAAAAAGTTGTGATTTTCCTAGAAGCGTCTCCCAGAAAAAGTTGTGATTTTTTTTAGAAGCGTGTCCCAGATGTAAACAATAAAGCAATCATAGCTATCGTGTTACACTCGCCAACTTCCGTCAACATGGCGTATAATTTCATCATCTAATTTACCTGCCTAAAAACAAACAGATTAACAAGTCGATTCAAAGGCCATTTTATTTCCTAATGTTGCCAGCCCAATCTTTATGATTTAAATCTGAAACAGCAGCACATACCACACCAAGCCTGACCCTTCCAAATCGTGACCTTTCACCCGCCCTTCTCCACCCCTGTACAATAACAATACTCTAGTCAGCGAGACCAGCGTAAAAAGGGGGACCACCTGTTTCTGGACCTGGGTATTAACTCATTCTAACGAAAACGAGATGCAGATGTGTAGTGTTATAGTTAACGTTTGTACTTCCTTCTATAGGGTGTCGCAGGATCAGCTAGTGCATTGTGGTTACTGGTGCACTACGCTACGTGGGGACCCACCGTAAAGACAATAGCGCAATATATTTATACACTGTAACCAGATGGCTACAATGATATATATAAACATACAATATTTATTGTCTACGCGTGATGCAGTGCCCTCTATTAATATATTTCTTTTGTAGCCGGTCCCAACGGGGCAGCTAGGGTCAGAGCAATGGGGACAAGAGAAAGGGAAGATACCAGTTTAACTGTTTTCCTATTGAAACAACACATTAATATAAATGGCTGTACCTGACCATACAGCTCGGACCAATCATTTGTCACTGCAACAAAAATACTTGGTAATTTAAAATCAACAAAAACTTTACTTGAAAATGTCAAGCTAGAAACAAAGAAATATTCTATGAAATATGTTCAGTCTGTGTTTATATAAAGAAATATATATATTAACTTTTTATAGAATAAAATAAAGCATAAAAAAGGAAGCAGACGCATACTTCCCATTGGTTGTAAAATACCATGGATACGATATGAGAGAGAGAGAGAGAGAGAGAGAGAGAGAGAAATGGGCTTTAACGTCCATTTGACACAAACCAGGTCATTTTGGGACTAACATGGTTTAATTTTATTTCAATAAATCGCTTGCGCGTAGGGGTCTTTAGCGGTGGGAAGAAACAGGAGGACCCAGAGAAAACCCACGAGGTTGGACAGGCGACCCTACTCCTTGTTACGTACAACCGGGGATTCGAAACCACGCCAGACGGCTCAATGACAGGCCTTAG